GCTGCCTGGGTGAGGCAGAGCCTGCCCTTCTACCTGTGGGGCTTTAAGCAGGCAGACTAATTTGGTGCCCTTGTCCAGTTCAGAGACAAATTCTGACAGTCTGACTTGTGCGCTCTGTCCTTAACACTGCTGACTGCGCTCAAAGCCAACCCAAGAGGGCCAAGGTGGGCGGCCTCTAACCGGGCTGTATGGGGCTGGCTGCCTGGGTGAGGCAGAGCCTGCCCTTCTACCTGTGGGGCTTTAAACAAGCAGACTAATTTGGTGCCCTTGTCCAGTTCAGAAAGCTGTTTTCCTACCTGGGTCTTTTTTCTTTGAATAAAGTGCGTTGTATGCACTCACTGTTCCCTCTGCCTGAAATGCTTCGCCTCCCATCCCTGTTTCCCCTGTCCCTCACCCATAACCCTCCACCGCCCAACCTCACAGGCTCAGAGAAGCCTCCCTGTCTGCCCAGTGGGTGCAGCTTGCCACTCCGACCGACCGTCCTCTGCCTTCGCTTTATTACAAAACAATAGTGTTGCCCTTTTGAGACTGTTGTAAGCCTCCAAATGAGTTAACTTGAATTAACATATGAAGCAGTAGTAAATTGTAAGTGCTAAGTGGTGCTCATTTAAATGTCCTCACAGCATTTACACTGCATATATTATATTCCTCTCTTTTTTTGTATGTGTATCTCCCTCCCTTACTACAACCTAATTTCACTGAGGGCAGGGAAACGCTGGAGTGTTCACTGCTGTATCCACCAGGGCCTGGCACACAGACATACAGAAGGCGCTCAATAAAAAATGTGCTGAATTCAATGAATGGACGGAGGTCTAGAGAGGCGGGAAGTGCTTTGGCTTTCTTTCATGAATTCTATAATATTTACTGAGCACCCACTCAGCACCAGGGAACAGGCACTCCCATTTGACCCCCATAAGGCGGAGATTGACAAACTTAAGTTTTGCATTGAGGTACCAAGGGGCACAGAGTGAAATGCAGTTTTAAGGGACAACTTTGATGGGTTTTGAGAAATGCACACTCCCAAGTCGCCGCACTCCCATCACCAGGCAGGGCGGGGACTGGAGCCCACGTCACACTAAGGCAACTGAGGCACAGACAACCCTCGTTGCGGGGGCCTCGGCCGGCAGGCGGGGGCAGGACTACATGTCCCAGGCTGCCTTGCGCGCCAGCCGGCCGTGCGGAGCG